TTATTTTGTTTATCCAAAAGTTTGGTAATTGCAGCTGATCTCTTCCGGCTGTCTTCGCTTTCTTCTTCCTTCTTCACCTGGGGCTCCACAAAAAACATCTCTATCAGGTCAAAAGACTGCCCCGCCTCCTCCAACTCTTCATCGGACATGGTGGTCCACTGCTCTACGTTGACCTTTTCCTTTTCTAAAAAATCTGTCCACCAGTGAAGCTGATGAGAGCGCATCCTTACCTTTAACCGGTCAATGGAGGTCTCGATCTTCTCCACTGATGGACATTTCTTAAGGTCAGGTCTAAGTAGAGCAGGTTTTCCTGGTGGTGTCCTTCTTAATATGATGTGCGGACCCGCTCTAGGTAACCAGAATTTGCCTGCCCCCTTCTTGTTTGACCATTCTTTGTACGACATCTCTACCTCCTTCTTTTCGTTTAGCTTAAACCTAAACGCATGGGGCTGACTGTGGTTTTCAAACACCGCCAAGTATGGATACAACCACGCCTTTATGTCGTAGTGGTTTTCCACATAGCTTGTCATAGGAGTCGGATGGTAAGACTTTCGGATGATGCTTTTGAGCTCCTCCAGAGTGACGGCGTCTGATTTCCGTAGAGTTACAGATATGCGACTAAACATCTGTCAATAAATTAACAGTCTTAGTAACACTTGAAATTTTTCTCTTTGTTAATGCATATGTACAACCTCCCAGTGAAATATATATATTTCGCTATTCCATGAGGGTCTTAACTGTGTTGCAAGTCGAACGTATGTGATTATTTCTACTTGGTTCAAGCAGTGTTCACAAAGTCAAAAATAGTTAAATTGTATATTTTTCGCCTTTTTAATTACAGCAAAGCAACTTTAGAAAATATTAGTAAATTTTGATAATGCAATTATTTTCTCGTAGGAGTTTTACTCCATTACCTTTGTTTTGTATAATAATTCCATTTTCGCTTTTGATGGCGGGCGCAAATATTTACGAAGAATACAATCCATGGTCAATCTGAATGACCTTGAAGTGGATTGGCTTCCGATATCACTATGCAGTGTTGTTTACCTGATCAATATCTTCATGCGTATGGCCAACCATTAGATAAGACAGTCTAACCTAAAGTATAAAGAGACGCATTGTTATCCTGAGTGTATACAGGACATAAAAATGAAGAGTTAATTTTTACCTTCCTAAAAACACCAGCTACGACCAATAGCGCACAGAATCCCATTATATATATATTTTTAAAGTCGCGATAGCAATTATCCAGTTGTAGATAGAGCACAGGAGGCAGATGACCATTCTAAAAAAACGAATAATGCGCATGGGTAAAGTAAGAGCATATATATATATAGAATATTTAGAAATATTGCTATAAAGATAATTTATAGAGTTTGATATTTTTTAGAGATTTAGAGATCGCTCCTGGTCGTTCATGTCTGTAAGAGTTTCATGGGCTTTACTTAAAACCATTATAACTTACTTTTTTGAAAATATAACGAAAATGGGACAAAAGACAGTTGGTTGTTGGATTAGCGTCTTGGGGGGATCGTAGAAAATCCAGAAAACACATGGCCGTTCTCTCCCCATGGGAGATCAATCCAGTGACATGTGTTTTCATGAATCCAGCATATTCGCCTTCAAGCTGAAAAAAACCCGTTCACATTCTTGAAAAACAGTGCACTTGTTGTAACAATTCATATTCTTTTCAGACATCTGACCTTTGACACTTGACGCCAATGAGGCAGGTGTGTCTTTGACTGATCCATACCATCAATGATAACGCTCATGTATTTATCCGGACGCTGTTCGGCTTTTTTTTGGTGCTTCTGATATTTCTTTCTTTCGCCGCTGTAATTAACAGATTAGGTTAATAGAAACACGGGAAAACTGACCTGATGACAAAATACTCTTCCTTTACAAAACAAATTATTATACTCTCATTGGAGAAGTTTTTTTGTACATTTTTATTATTTTTACTATTCGTCATTACCTCTGCAACTCCATGTGTTTTTCCCGTTCTGTTATCCAGTGTAGCTTTTCCTCCTTTGTTGTTTTTGATCTGATGTGTTCGTCAATCAGAACACAAGTCCCACACTTTGTAAAACGGTTCGTCTGTCGAGAAGAAAATACTGTTGTTCATACATGGCAGCTTGTATTGTTGGTATCGTTACTGTTGTCCTGGCTTGCTTCTTGTTAATATTATTTCACTTATCGTGATTATTTCACTTATAGTGAAATGACCAGCATAATACACAATAGTGAATCGGGAGGAGGGTGAGTGGGTCAGGACCCTCTGTCAAATCTAAGTTCAACTGGTATTTTTACTGATAAATTGATATTGAAACTAAGTGCAATTTGATTAAGTCAATTTTTACCTTGGGTATAATGACTTCGGGGTGGTATTCTTTCCACATTCTTCTGAACTGAAATCTACTTAAAGGCACTGATCCAGTTTTTGAATCTTTTATATACAGTTCGTACATTTTTTTAATAGTGTAGCTTGATGGAAGTTCTTTTCGGTTTCTGTCAGGCATTACATTAGCAAGGTTACGTACTGTCTCCAAAAACCACAAATCGGCCATGCGCATTCTGTTCGATTCGAACTTCTTTCCAATTCGCCCATGGATTGCAGTAATTGGTTTAGTGCCGTTTTTTGACAAGCCAGTCTAGTTTCGTAAATGTCCTCAAGAGTGAGCAGCTTCTTCAAACACTGTTGTTTACAGCAGTGCTGTTTTGCAATTGTATCTTGAATTGCGGTTAAGGACGTTTTCAGCTTCTTTTTGGACTTTTTTTCTACTGGTCCTTCTGTTTTATGGTTTTCCTGATCAGCAAAATAAAAGTTGTTATAACGTGACTGTTAACCTTGTTCCCAGCCCCTTATGCGACAAACGATTGGTCAATATGATGATATACCGTCTCATCTTTAGCGGAAGAGGGCAAATCAAATCTGGTAGAGCTTTTGCTCTCAAAAACAAGATCATCATCCTGTACATAAGACAAATGAATTATTTAGTAATGTGTACTGTGTGATTTAAAGGCGAAAACTCAATTTTTTGTTGAAAAGCTGTTTGTTATAAGTCTTACCGATGAACTTTCATATGAGCTTTCATCAACACTAAGTTCAGAACCCGATGTTTCAGAGTCATTCTATAGGATTCAAATAGAAGGAAAACACTAGCACTCTATAACTATAATACATATTCGAAATATATCTTCAACAAAACAATTCAATAGAATTCAAACAGACAAAAATATTTTACAAACCAAGTGAATCTACGTCTTTAATTATTTTTAAGATCATCCATTTACAATAACCGGCGATTTGACCTTGAAAAGCTCACACGCAACTTGTTATGCCAGTTATAAATAAAGGCGCGAAAATTTGAGTGATATATCATATATATTTGGTTTAAACATCTCCACAACAAAACTACTATAAAAACCAACAAGTAGAAACTTACTTCTGAATCAGTATCAAATTCATCCAGTCTTGATTACAGGACATTTTTGTGATTACAAGCTCCTCCGCAATCACATTGGCCGATCTTCGCCTGAAATTCGAGCATTAAAAGCACAATTATTATAGGATATGTTTATAAAATCTAAACCAAAGCACAAAGTAAGTGAATTTGGTTTTAGATCCAGGGTCTTTCCGTCGCGACCCCATCTATTCCCGCCAATGTTATCGGGGAACTGTGGAGAAGAGGTTTCCTCACAGTCCTCATAGCTTTCGAGATAAGCAGAAGGAGAATGGGAGAAATACTTAGTTCCCTGCTTTCAATTTCATTTTAGGACGATATTTTTAATTTTGTACAACATAGGCTTACATTTCTGTTTGTCTAGATGAAATGGCGCGCATTGCGCCGAATGATCATATAATGTTTTCCTTTACAAATGTGAGCTTACCTTTCGACTTGCTATTCCAATCATTTCGTTAGTGTGGTCTCTAGTGCTAATATAATGTACTGTATGCAAGAGAGAAGTTGCTTGCCACGGGAAATTGTTACTGGATAACGCGCACTTGTGAGGTCGAAATCCAAATGAAGCTAATACTTGTTTGATGCAATGTTTATTTCATATTTGGCGCCTTTTTCATTCTCTTTTTTGATTGGATACTCTACTACTACACGGTATCGAATGACTGATAACCCCTGAACAATAGACATCGCCGAAATGAGGTTCTGCAGATGACTGCAGGATTGAATTCTGTTCTTTGCCAATTATTCAAGACTGATTTTGGCGGCCAGTCATTCGTCTAAAATCCATTTTGAGTATGCTGATATTCATTTTATTAATTGATTTGTCAAGTCTTAAAGGTTTTTAAACTTTGTGCTCAGTAAAATTTTTATTTGAGTTTTATCACTCTACGTTATAGATCAGGAATAGAACTAGGAATTACAAATAAGCATTGGCAAATCCATCGTAAACATAAATGAGTCAGATCGAAGAAAAGAATTGAGGATATAAAGAGAAGTTATAACACAATTGTCAAGTTGCAATCCAAAAGTATTTGTGCGTGAAGGAGTTTTCTCTCGTGACTCGTGTTCGCGTGAACGATCAATCTCCGGTGTTTACTTTGGTTTTCGTGATTTGGCCGGATTTCAATTACATAACGTGACTCTATAAAAACCTAACTAGAATATTCAATATTCGTGATGTGTGTGCATTTTTCGAGATTTTATCAATCTATCCTTCACTTACTAGCCACTATGTTGTTCAAAAGATAACAGAACGCTTCCTGAAGAGGTGTGTCGCTTGTCTTAACTATACTTGACAAGTGGAGTCTGGATTTTATCAAGTCGATTGTTGAAATGAGTTCCACTTAATTTTGACAACATTCCACACCTACACATATAAGAACACGCGGGGCAAGTCATGAATCGTGACCTGTATTTACCTCGAAGTGATTCCGACCTTTCAGCGCTCATTTTACATGAGATTTCATCTAACAACCTTGTATACATATATATAAAGAACAATTTCTCCTGAACAGGCACTTGTTTTTCTTTTTCTACTTGAGAGATGTTGCAAAATTCGAATTTCCTCCCAATTAAAGCTTCAGTTGGCATACGCACCCAAGGCGAAGAGCATTCGTCTGAATATCAGGTGCCTAAGAGAACATTTATGTCTGTGGCATCTGAGTTCAGAAGGAAGATGTTCGAACTTTTATCGCCTGAGGTTACAGAGATAACGCCGCTTGGGGCCGACAAAAACTTCGACAGGACATTTAAATCGTACGTCGAATTGAGATATGGACGACTTGACGTAAGTTTCTTTGCGGTTCATTTTTTGTACACTAACATTTGCATCATGCATCCGTTAATTGATGTCTTCATACTCTGGTAACTCACAGGATTTCAGAAAACAAGTTTGGGCAGCAAAATTCTCGAGCAGATGTTGGGAAAAGCTCGTCCAAATAGATGCTAAACGCCCTGTTACAGTTTACACGCTAAAATGGCTTTATTCCACCACCAGCGAAAATGAAATTTTTCAAAACTTAACCAGTGTTTTGGAAAACCCCCAAACGCTCGCATCGTTGAATAACGCCGCAAAATCGAAGGTAAATACGAGAGTATTATTTTTACGGAAAGTTCATTTTTGTAATAAGATGATTGAATTTGTACTAGACACAAGCCCCAAAACAGAATTTGATGCAAGAGGATCCAGAGCAGTGGATGAAAGAAAAGGAAGAAGAAAATGAGATTTTGGTATTGAGTTACTGCTTCAATCCCTGATTTCTAATATTCGCGAAATGTAGTTTGCTTTGTAGTAACAATGAAATATTATTCTACTTTTCAATTCAGCTGAGAAGAGTCGGCAAATTCGAAAAAACCCTACATCGTGATGTGGGAATTCATCTTGTAATGGCACACACGCCGAGCAAGAAAAATACTGGTTTGAAACAATTATGCAATTCTTTGTCTTTTCAGAGAAATGCATCACAGCATTTAAGAACAATTGCCGACCTAAATGGGACAATTTCCGGTCTTAGAGCGGACCTCAGTAAAGTAAGTATCATCTTAAGAGACAAAATCAACGTTATCTATTATATCAGTAGATCAATTCGCAAAACACGCAAGAACAAATAGCCTGATCACGATACCATCTAAAGTTTAACAGGCTCTAAGGCTAAACTCATACAAACCGAAAACAGATAAAATGTCAAAAAACGAATATTTTGCCTTCACAGGCCCTTGTTAAAGTCAGCGAACTCGAAAAAAATATTGAACGGATTGTGCATGAAGAGCACATTAAAAGAAAGGACTGTCTGAAGGTCAGTCCCCTTTTGGAACAGTAACTAATAACAAGAAAAWAAAGACCCTAAAGATTTGTTTACGATTCAAGGTCATTGAGACTCAAAAAGAAGAAATCTTGGACTGGAAGAATRAGTTTCTCAAGGCGAATTCCGTATCCTTGGAACCGGAAGTGAAGAAAAAGGTATAGATAAAATCCAAATAATGCGTGCATTGAACGTATCGTGCTATCACAATGCTAATATAAATAATGATTAAATATGTAGAGATGTCAGTGCATTTATATTTACTTGTTTTCTCTTTCTTTTTGCAGAAAAAAAGTGATCCTTTGGAAGCCAGCAGCACTACTACAGTAAATATCAAATTGATCTGAATTGCGTATCTAATTGTTTTTTTTTAATTGAGAAGATTCCCGTTGCATTCAGGTTACAAAGTRCAATGTTGACCTTGCGGTTGTTAGGTGTGGACACTCTAATATACTCACAGAATCAAGGAGTTTACAAGTGAGTTTACTTTAATGCGAATCTAAAACACATAAAAAGACCTCTCACAAGTGGACGTAGCGAACGAGTGAGGAGAATGCGAATTTCGTATCTTCAAGCAATATTCTGTTTACTATATCAATGCACATAAAAGTAAATTGAAATACTTTATATTATTCAGTAATTGAGAAATATGATCGTTCCATACTAGATACACCTAATTAAACAAAAAGAACGTTGAACTGAGACCAAAAAGTAAATTAGGCAGTTTTTTTCCTTTAATGCAAATGTTTCATTTTCTCCACTCTGTATACAGTTATCATCAGGATGGAAGCTAACAATGGAAGAGTGCGACTATCCGTCCGACATTGATTACGTACGGAAGGTGTGTGGACTGTACATAGCACATGAGCGGGTTATTATACGAGAAACGGAAATATTTTTCTTGTTGCAAATAGCGCTCGCGAAATTACTAGCCAAACACGTAATCACGATGGTTATTATTTTCTAGAGTGAGCTATCGGCCAAAGCACAATCTTCTGGAAACGTTCAGGAGGTATGATAAGTGTAGAAATAAAGAAATTTTCCCAATCCAGTACAGTTAAGCAATATTAATTGGTAAAATTTTTAAGGTTTGCACTCTAACAGATTTGTTGTTATTTAAAGGATACGTTTGATATTTTGGGTGATAATTCACAATCTCCAAATAGAAAGAAACGCCTACGGGAAGAGACAAGCGACGACAAAGAAGCAGTTGAAAAAAGAAAGGTGCATTTAACAGTGCAAAATTATAAATAGCCTAATTTTTAGCAATGGCTTTAGAGCTCACATTTTTTTGCAACTATTTCAATATGATTTTGTAGAAACTGCCGAAAAACGTCGATCAATCTACTCCTAAGGAGGAGAGTTGTGCTGATAAACCCAAGGTGACTGACTGATAATAAATAGCGATCGATTATACAGATATAAGAAAAGACTTAATGATCATCATTGACGATTATTAGAACAACAATAACGATGACATTAACAATCAAACAAAAATCATATGAAAAAAAATTATGACATTTTATATAATTGGTGTTTTTGAATTTGTTTATAGACTGAGTTTGTGGCGGTTTGCTACACTTCTAAAAAGCCTGGATGCTCGACCTTTTATCTTGGGCAGATTGTTGACCGGGAAGACCAGTTAGTATCGGTCAACTTTCTGCAAAAGGTAAAGGGTGGAAGAGGTTACATCTGGCCTAAAAAAATTGAAAAAGAAGACGTCTATGACCACCAGATATTTGCGTCAGGTCTAACAGCTAGAGTAGAAGAAAATRTTTTTAGTTTTGATGAAGGGGCTTTTCAGGAAGCCTTCGAGGAATGCTGCCAAAACCTGATTAAAATAGAACGTAAAATGAAGGTAGGTCATGATTAATTTTTTTCCGTCTTTGATTTTGAATATCAATTCCTGTAAATTGCCTCGAAACTTTGAAATCAATACTTTYGTATCGACGGTTTGTGGCATCGACGTAGTAAAAAGAGATCAAATATATATAACTGATTATATTTTGCTCGCTTTCGTTTTCAGAATATATTGATAATATATTCTAATTTAGAATATTTCTATTCATACAGATTGAATCAGTATGGGAAGAGACGGGTACTCCGTATYGGAAAATTGGCCCAGTCTCCTGGAAGGATTTCAAGACGCTACAATTGGACATGCTGGAAGTTCAAGAGACGCAAATGAAAATCACTCTCGGCATGTCTGAATCCGGATGGGAAGTGGGCTATGTAATTGATGAGGTACATATATGCCATATTTGTAATGTATTCATCACGCTAAACACAATCATTATGTTTCAACCATTTTTTTCTTGATGATTATTTTCATACAAATCTCAAAAATATGTTCTATTTTAGGTTATAGATGAATACATGAAAATTCTAGAAAAGATGGCGCAAAARAGRGTAGATATAGATGATTGAACTGGCTGAAATTGTAGATCATTGTGTACTGTAGATGACTGGTCGCCACATGTCCGGTCCAACTATTCAAGGTAATAAAGCTACCTCTTTCTTTTAGAAAAGAAAGATAATTACCGCAAACACAAAGTTTTATAATATTGTGGTTGGAGACAAAAACTGGAGAAGAAAGGTAATTGCCAAGATACTTGACTCATATATAATCAATCCATTAATTCACTTTCATAAACTTTGCAGCTTAACCTTTCAAAATTCAATAAGCTGGTGTTTCCAAGTCAATTTGGATCAAAAAACCATTGGAATCTTGGGGTATGTACGTCTAGTTATCATTTGAAATAGAAATGAAAAAAGGTGCCAGGGATCGGGGGAGCAATCAGTACTTCAACATTCACTTCACCATTATGGTCGACATGAAAATTAAATATATGAAGGATTAATGAAAAATGGTTTTGGCGTGTTTCTAATGGTCTGTCTAACCTTTATACAACAATGCAGGTTGTCGACTTCCAAAATTCAACAATAACAATTATCGACTCGCTTGGTAAGAAGAAACACGAGCAGCATTATGACAAACTGAGGTATACCGAAATTTATTATTTTTTTCACATACAGCTTATCTCGAAATAAGGTTTTCCACCTGAAAAGACGTTGTAATTGTTCCAAATATCAAGTGACTGATTATATATTAATATACCGATATATTCAAAATTAAACTGAACAAAAAAGATAAAGGTTTGTGATTTGTTCTTTTTATATCTAGAATGTCAGATATGTTTCAGTGGAGAACTGTAACAACAGTCTTTTAAAATACTCAGGTCACTCGGTGTATTGTCGGACAACCTTTTCATTGAAATATTCTTAACATTTTTAATTCCTTATTGCTTATGAGACTCAAATCGTCAAAATCAATAGGTATTTTCTCTGAATATATGAATGTTATTTTCTAATTATTTTCTATTTTTTTAACAGAAAATTCTTTCAAGCAAGATACGGAATGTTTACTGATAAATTTACGATTGGACAGATGCAACATCCGATCCAAGACGATAGTGTTAGTTGCGGTATATATGTACTTAAGGTATTTAGAGATGTCATGTTTTTGTTCTGCCGATGATTGACACTAATAGCCGTCATTATCGATCTAGATAGCAGAATACATCATGCTGGAGACTGAAGCGTATAATGCTATCCAATTTTCAAAAGTAGGTATCGTGCATGGGTTTGTGAAATATTGTAGTCTGATTAGTGACTTTTGTTCTCATCATGTCTTCTAAAGTGTATCTGTATTAGAGTACAGCAGACTCACAGACTCAATCTATTTCTTTAGTATATAAAATATTTTTATGGCTTTTTCTGAGTGCGCGTAATTTCATTGAAGCAATAGTTATTAAATATGCTCAAACAGTCATTTAAACGAAGACAACAACCTAAATCGCGCGAATTGGTTCTGACCAATCGGAATCGGAGTAGGCGTAAGATGGCGCCCGTAAAATGGAATGGCGTGATCTGGGTGTCATACTTGCGTGTACTTTATATTTATAGCACACAGTTCTCGAACAACCCAAGGGCGCGTGTTATTCTAAATTGTCTAAAAATGATTATAAAATGTGGTCTTCATATCAAACAAAGCTAACGCAAATCATAATGTACTTCACAGGATGAAATCGACGACTACCGTTATGTTGTAGCCGAGAGGCTCATGGAAGAGAAGTAACTGTCACTTCAAGAGTAACAAAGAAAGACTCGGCTAGCAGTTGATCTTCCTAAGATCACTATATATAAATGTTGTCCCACTTATATTGTTTAGTAATCTTGGAATCTTCCTTTTCGTTTGATTGATAACTTCTTATTTTCTCTTTTCGTTATTTATCATGTCTGAGCGTGCAATTTTATCATAGTCGTAACTTGGCGCGGAATACCTTATCATTTTCAAATTCTCGTATATTTCTGGAAAAGATAACGATCTGGGTCATCGCTACCTGCAAACATAATAACGTGACGGCAATAATTTCAATCTCTAAACTTATTTATTTTTGCTTCTTTTTCTTCATGGGCGGTAATGGCGGCGGCTGCTCATAATTTATAAACTCCCTTGCTCTGGAGAGCATTTCCATCCTATTTAAGGGAAAAAGAAATTAATAAAGCAACGGATAGCCCTCCCTTCCCATGTTGTATACTTTTTTGTTATATGCTCTAACTTACGTTCTTTCTTTGGTTTCCAACCTTCCAGGATGATTCTATGATTAAAATAATGAAGAAAGAAAACAATAAGACAGTTCTTTAATTGAGGAAACCACTACGTTTTATTGAAGCTTGAGGCCTTATACCTTATCCCATTTATAAATACAGCCGTTTAGGTAGCTATGAAGCTCTTCTATGAATGGTCCAATATCTGGATCACTTTCCTTTATGACCTAACGAACAAACTGATGTACTAATGAGAAATGTCATGTTCACTACTTATAGTTATATAAGCTATAATGTGTAATAATGTAGCCGGTACACTTACCACAATTTCTTTAGTGCGTTTGGTTGCCATCATGTTCTTAACTATAATTCAGGTTATTAGTCCAAAAAAGGCGGCAAACTGCTGAGGTTATGTTGAGATGTCCGGCTCTCAATCAAAATAACATCCGATAAGCGAACCATAACGTTGACTATGGAGCTATGCCAATGAATGTCATGTCTATTCGTAGATATGATTGGCTTATTTGCGTTCACATACTGAATATATTCAGCAAAATTTTAATTGTTACCATATAATAGAGATAAGAGATACAAAAAAATTGTCGCTTAAATACGTAATGTCTAAAATATAGCCTGTAGCTAGTTACCTAGTTAGATTTGTGATTATAATAATAGGTTTCTGGTATATGCGTGCGGTTTTTGTCATCTTTCAACTTCGTCAAGCTACAAGCTTTCGTGTAATGTATACTGACCTGTCATCGCTTTTCGTAATGGTTTATTTCTATACGAGTGTTTTGGCGTTCCATAGCGTTTTAAGATAACTGGTTGATCGTGTTACAAATTCATCAATATGTAATTGGTTTACTTGCGTTCACATTGCAAATTTATGCACTTATACTTTATGATCTTGCGTTCATTGCTGTTACAGATGTTCCTTTTGAACCTTTTGAATTGGAAGTAAAATGAATTCGAAATAGAAAAAGTTTTGGGGTCGTTGTTGCATAAGTTTTTTTTTTCTTTTTTTTTTTTCCGGGCAAATTCCAGTGAAGTACACTGATCATTACTCGTTCGATTATGCTCACCGGACAACAAAGAATCCGCAAACAACAACAATTCATTGAATACCATTGTCCACGTTTTTCGCACAAAGATAAGCGGTAGTTAAAGAAATAATTTATTTGAATGTTTTGGCGGTAAACGATGACTGAAAGCATGTAATAGCACGTGTCTGAAATGGCGCGAATTTGTGGCGGGAATTTACAAGTATGAGTGGCCCCATGTTTGTGGTCGCATTCCACACATTAATTGGCCGCATATCAGTTGACATGTATGCGATAAATATAACCATTTCAAGTAGCACAAAAATCATTTTTTCATAGTTTTCATAGTAGTTTAGATACAAACTGCAACTCTTTTGGTTGCCGATGTGATCTTTCAAAGAAACTGATTGAAAACTATGAACAACAAATAATGGTCGCATTATAATAAGCAAATCGGTAAATTACCGGATTACGTCCTGCTTACTGATCTTTGACCTTCCAATATAGACAAGAATCAAAATGAAAAGGAACCACAGACAGTAAATCATTTTCAGAGTAAATTGTTCGATGTGCATCGACGTTGAGTAGCTTTAATCGATTGTTGGAAAATTCTAGTCGCAAAACTAGTCGAAATGACTCATTTCAGACCGGTATTTTGCACGGCGAGTGGCGCACTTGCCTCAAGTGAAATGCGACTAGAGCAGGGTGAAAWTCCACTGCCACAGCGATTGAATGCTAAGCAGAGACGTCTCTCACGGCCAAATACAAAGGAAGAAGTCCGAGTAAGACGATTGAAAAGAAAGGAACTAAAAAGAAGTCAACAAAAGTTGTTTTCAAAAAGGCAAAAAAGATGCAAAAACGTGAAGTATATTGACAAGAAAATTGAGCGGGAAACATGCGATATGAAGAAAAAATTAGACGAGCAAAGAAAATACGCTAAGGAACAACGGAAAAGAGCTATATATTTCTGGAAATCGTGGCGAGCAATTAAAAATAATGGGTAGGTATACGTTTATATTTTTAGTAATTTTTCTTGTTGTTCAATTAGTTCAATTCTCTCTTCTATCTTTCTAGAAATGTCAGAGAAATAGAAACGGCAAACATTGAGGATTTTAAAGAAAATGTTACCCTTGGAAAAGGAAGATTTGGAACATGTCAAAAGAAAGTATACAGAGGAAACATTGTATGTGTGAAGTATTTTAAAGAAAACACAACAAAAGATGTAGTTCAACGAGAAGCCATGATAATAAACAGCTTAGATCATCCAGGTATGAAAAGCGGGTTCCATATGACACGCGTTGGACGTTTCGTGTAGAGCCGACCGTGTCGTGACAGTGATATATTGCTCTTGAATCACGATTTCGCGTTACTATCAGGAGGCGACCCTCCTTGACCGTGCAGTGTCGTGTCGGTGTGTAATGATCTGTGCCTTTACCCACTCTATTTCGAAAACTGCGATATTATAAAGTGATAATATTTATGATCTGTTATGCAATGTAAATGCAGATGATGATGATAATGTAGTTTTTATCACAGGGTTACCTTATGCATTTGGAATAGTAACAACTACACAACCGTTTGCACTGGTGATGGAGTTCTATGGAATCGATGGTAAAACAGTGACAATTGCTGATGCAGCAAGAGACAATCTACTTTTCGATCAAAAACAGTGGGCTGTAGCACTGTCTCATTGTTCGCAAGCGATTTCACATATACACAAAAATCATTATTTGCATTGTGACCTAAAAGGTGACAACATTGTTTTCAATAATGTCGATGGAAATTTTTTTCCCGTCATTGTTGATTTTGGAAAAATGAAAAAAATTGACGATGTTAAAAGGTACAAATTAACCATACAAGAACAGGAAATGTATCGACAAAGGCACAAACACATTGCTCCAGAAGTTGTGAGGGGCATCGAAGCTCCTTCTCCTGCGAGTGACATCTATGCGTTTGGCCTCGTCATTTCACTTATTTGCTATTATAATAGGAGCTTTGAAGAATTACGAAAATTAGCTGTTAAGTGCATTCACGGAACACCTCATAGAAGGCCTAGAATTGAAAGTATAATGTCAGATTTGGATTCAGTGCTACATTCACGTCATAACACGGAACAAATGTAATTTGCGTTTCAACTATTAAGGAAAAATTATCATGTGATTGTTTTGGCGGTATAAAATACGTTACATCGAAATCTGTGATCATCGCATGTCATTGGTTGAAATGGGTTCCTATCACGAACTCGTAGATCAATGTGATTGGTTCATTTGCGTCTTCATTCCGAAAATACATTAAAATTGAGTTAATTATTGTTACAATCGTACGATACGCAGCTAGTTAGATCTGTGAATATTACGTGTTTGTGATGTTAATTGTCACCTTCAGTAATTTTCCCCTAAAAACAGAACTCGCTCTCGTGTATAAATGTTTACTGATCTGTCAACGCTTTTCGTAATGGTTTATTTTAGGGGTTGTCATTTTGGCGATGTGATTGCTTGAATCGGGTTCCTATCACGAACACAGATATTTAAGTTGAGATATGATTGGTTTAGCTGCGTTCTCGTTCCGAACATCAATCGAACTTGAGGTCATTTAACGGATACTCGTCATTATGAAGATATTTCAGTAACCAATTATTGTAAACCTTTTGAATCTGTCAAGTATGAAATAAAACAAAGTTTTGAAATCTCGTTCTTGTTCATGCCGATCTGCCATCGCTTCCTCACGTAATGGTCATCGTTAGTTTATAAAAAATCCACGATATGATTGATCGTTTTGCCGTTCGCGTTTGGTAGGGTTAGCGTGCTATTAGATGAGTGTATAAACGTTTACTGATCTGCCAACGCTTTTCGTAATGGTTTATTTTAGGGGTCGTTATTTTGACGATGTGATTGGTTGAATCGGGTTCCTATCACGAACACAGATATTTAAGTTGAGATATGATTGGTTTAGTTGCGTTCTCGTTCCGAACATCAAACGAACTTGAGGTCATTACTCGCTATTATGAATTTTGGAATCGATCAAGTTGGAAGTGAAACAAAGTTTTGAAATCTCGTTCTTGTACATGCCGATCTGCCATCGCTTCCTCACGTAATGGTCATCGTTAGTTTATAAAAAATCCACGATTGATTGATCGTTTTGCCGTTCGAGTTTCGTAGGGTTAGCGTGCTATTTCATTTATCGCATTTATCGACTTTCACACGCACAAAAAAAAAAACGAAATAATTTCAACATWCTTCAACTGGAACGTAGGCTATTTTTGGTACAAGATAGATATTTGCATTCAAAGGTCCGGAAAGGTCGTATGTTGTGTAGATTAAGGTATCTATGACCTGTTATGAATCCATCATCGCTYGARTGTGCTTCATGGCTTGTGATTGGTTGAAACGGGTTCCTATCACGAACTCATAAATATCAAGTTACTAATTCATCAACGTGATTGGCTGATTTGCGTTCCTGTACCAAGGTCATGATAATCTAGATTTTTTCTAGACTCTGATTGGTTGATACAGGGTATGTGTTCCGCAAAGGTGCTTTTATCTAAAAAGTACATAATTAGTTGCTCAAGTACAT